TTTCTCTTGCTTTCTCCAATAAAGTGGTTTGGTCTCCCCACTTCCCTAATAATGTGGTTCTGTTTCTCCTTCTGAACTCCGATCTCCAATTTTTTTTTTTTTTGATACAGGTTTTTTTATGAACCCTAGATACAAATCTACTCTCACAAGACCTAACAAGTCCAGTCTGGCCACCTTGGCACTTAGAGATCCTTATCTCAAAACAACAAAAGGAGATGGGGTGGGGCTGGGAATATCACTGAGTATAAATAAAGGCCTTGGGTTCAGTACCTAGGATAAGCTGGTGTGGTGGCCCATAGTGATAAACCTAGCACTTGGGAGGCTGTGAGGCAGAAGGATTGCTGTGAGGCTGGCTGGGGCTCTATAGTGAGCTCAAGTCCTGCTTAAACAACATAGCAAAACCGTATCTCAAAAAAGCAAACCCCGGGGCTGAGGATTTAGCTCAGCGGTATAAGTACCTGCCTTGCAAGCATCTGCTGGGGATTTAGCTCAGCGGTATAAGTATCTGCCTTGTGAATTCGATCCCTGGTACCCATAAAAATTAAAAAAAAAAAAAAAAAAAAGCAAACCCCAAAGCTAGGACAAAACCACACTGAATTCAACATTTAGATTTCTGGACTGGGGACACAGCTCAGTATTCAGCACCTTCCTGGCAAGCCCAAGGTCCTGAGTTTGATTTCTGGTACCAAAAGCAAAAACAATGAAGTTCTGGGGTTTGAACCTCATTTTCAGATTAAGTAACTAATTTAGAGGCCTTTAAGGCTGACCAACATTTAATCCATTTCCAATGGCTACATTCTGACTCAGGCTACAAGATCCTCTAGCTAGCTTTGTAGCCTGCCTTAGCACTCATGTTGCTTTCCTCTCTCTGAGACCTAACAGTGCTGACTCCAACAGCCTACAGGTTCTGCCTCAGTTCTCAGCCCCCACTCACAGCATCAGCAAAACTGTGCAAATCTGCGTAGTTCTCTTCAATGGCTTCCTACGCACTTAGAAAAAAATCCCCCCCCCCCATTTCTCTTCCTAGCATACTGCTGAGGCTCCAGCCCCGCCCCATCTTTTACTTTACCTCCTATACCGTATTTGCACCTCCCTGGCTCCACTGCCTGCTACCCTCCAAGCTTTCCGAATTGTATAGGGTACGCCCTGGCTGGGTCCCCTGGTTGGAGTCCTGCTTTTGCTGCCAGCTCTGGGATGGGGATCAGAACACCCGCCTCCAGTGACCACTCAGCAGCTGCTTGATCTGTGTTTTTGTGTGGCATCTACAGATACTTCTAATCAAGCAAATGCATGCAGGGGGATCACAGGCCTTGCGGCTTCATTTACATGTACAACTGAGTTGTGTTCACAGAGGTGTTCAAAAAACGACTGGTGAAACTGTTGACTCATCTGCATTAAAACAAATGTGAAAAGGCAATCTTAAAGCAAAAACCAAACATATACACCAAGGTATTTACAGGGACCCTGGGTCACATAACATGCACTGCTCATACACAGAAATGCATATTATATATAAAAGTTTTGGCAAAGTCATCATAAACAGATTTCCTCCTCAAATGTCTTCACTCTGTGTTCTTAATGCTCAGGGCATTTTACTTCTTTAACGTGCAGGTAAAAAACTCCAGATTTTTTTTTTTCTATTGGTACCGAGGATCGAACTCACGACCGCCTGTTTGCAAGGCAGGTGCTTATGCCACTGAGCTAAATCCCTGCCCCAGATTTTCTTTTAATATCATGTTTCCACGCTAAGTCCTTACCATTTTACCTGTACGTTTTTCTAAGTTGGCAAATTCTTTGGACATTTAGGACACTGATTCCTAAGTGTCACGGCTCCCCACACCCTGCAACATCTTCTTACTTGCTTCAGTCTATTACTGAACCCCAACTGCTCACTCCACAGCTAGTCGTTCAAAACAGAAATCTCGTTATGCCCCATTTCCACCAGGCTGAACCCCTACTTCCACAGCAAGCTCCTTGAAGCTAACAGGACCCTTGGGTCTCTTCCTACCTTTATGCTTACCCATTCTGTCCCCATGGAACTTCTGTCCTTTCAGTCTGCTGAAGGGGACAAAGCCTTGTCATCACTTATTAACAGTGCCTGTTGGACTGTCTGGCATTTTGAAATTCAGTGACTGGGTCCCTGGTAATCCATCAGAACAGCACGAAGAGGTATCCTTGCAACTTGAAAGACAAACACACAAACACAAGGACACGAGCCCAGTGTGTTGGTGCACACCTGTAATCCCAGCAACTGGGAGGCTGATGCTGAGGATCGCTGTGCTTTGAGACCAGCCTGACCCTGTCTCAAACCAACCACTCCTGGGGCTGGGGATTTAGCTCAGTGGCATAAGCACCTGCCTTGCAAGCAGGCGATCTGAGTTCGATCCCTGGTACTGAAAAAAATGAAAAAGACAAAAAAATAAAAACAAACAAACAAACAAACAAACAAACCACTCCCAACTCCACGCAGACAGGAAACATTATCTTTGACTTCTACAATGTATTTCATTTGAAGATGGGAGTTCAAGCACTGCTAGACTCATTGAACAAACCAGAAAAATAATTATGTTCTTTATTAAAAGCCAGGTGCATACAGTAAGGTACTTTAAGACAAAATACATCTGTTCAGGCTTCTTAGTTCTGTTATATAGTGCTTCCAAGGAAATGCAACCCTGTATTTTAGCAGGCATCTCTGTTCCAGCCAGACCTGCAAAAGCGTGGTGACAGCCCATATTCACTCAGGGTGCTCACCATAGCAGTGGAGCTGCTACTCCAGCCCAGGCTGTGTCCAAGGCGCTGCTCATGACCATGACAGACAATGCACTGCATGAATGCCAACCTGAAGATGAGGGGGCCCATGGCCTATGCGAAGCCACTGAGTTTGTAGGAAAAGAACAGATTGAGAAAGGAGGAACTGGGGGTTGGGACGTGAGTACAAAAAAATGTCAATGTCACTGGCCGCAGTGGTATGTGCCTACAACCTCAGCTACTCAGGAGGTTGAAAGCAGGAGGACCACAAATTCAAGTCTACTCTGAATGATTGAGATCTAGTCTCAAAATGGGCCTGTGTGTGCATGCAGGAGACAGCTTAGTGTGGTGGCCCTGGTTCAGTCCGTCAGGGGGCAGGGTATCCATGTCATGGAATGAAAAAGTACATCAAGGGAGCAGCCAGCTTTACCAAAATCCTAAGAATCAAGGACAAAAGGACCAATTAATGTGGTAATTCACAGAAGGCCTGTACTCTAAGTGTCTACCTCTGAACCTGCATTTATAGTATTTATCCAGCATTTGTTAGATGACTTAGAATTCTGAAAAGTTAATAAATACAATGTATGCATATGCTACAGAAACACATCTGAAGATTTTAGCTTTTATTAGACAAAAGCAGGCAGTGATTTCAATATTTGGGAAGTAATTTTCTGTTAACTTACTGAAAACTACCAGTCTTATAAAAGGCTAAGTTAAAAAAAACTAGTCTTGGGGCTGGGGATTTAGCTCAGCGGCATAAGCGCCTGCCTTGCAAGCAGGCAGTCATGAGTTCGATCCCTGGTACCTATAAAAAGGAAAAAGACAAAAAAAAAAACAAACCAAAAAAACCAAAATAAAACAAAACAAACTAGTCTTTACTGACCTGCTGTTAGAATATAATGACCAACTTGACATAATTGGAAAACACATGAACTCAGTTCACTACCTAATTTTCCATTAATGTGCCACAAAGACTGTATCATAAAAAGATAAAATTATATGGCATAATTGAAATGAAGCATCTTGGGCCAGAGATTTAGCTCAGTGGCATAAGTGCCTGCCTGGCAAGCACAAGATTGAGTTTGATCCCTGGTACCAAAAACAAGAAAACAAAAGAAACCTGGAATCTTGAATGACTGAAAATCTCAAATATTTTGCTCCATATGAATTTCCTGGGCCTGGCTGGGGATGTAGCTCAGATAAAACATTTGCCTTTGTAAGTGAGGCCCTTGGTCCAATCTCCAGCAGCAAATAAAAGAAACCAATAAATGAATAAGATGCATGCAAGAGCACATGCTTATAGCTCTAGCACCTAGAGATTACTCAAGCCCAGGAATTCAGAATCAACCTGGGCAACACAGCAAGACCTCATCTCAAATAAACGGGCCACTTAAAAAATAAAATAAAACGTTCTGGATTGTTCCATCAAATTCGGTCTATTTCCACTACGGAATGTGATATATACTTCATCCCCTCTAAAAAATGCTTTTCTACAATCGTACAGTTAAGTAGGCTTTTACATGATAATCCAGTTTCCAAAATTCTTCATTAAATCTTATTTCCTTCAGATTACTTGACTATTGGTTATGATGGTCTTGATGTAGCAAACAAGGGAAGATCCATTCACTGGGAATCTTAAACAGTGATGCGTCGGCAGTATTATAGAATGTATCAACAGGAAAAATCATCTCTATCTTCCCTTTGAAGGAGAAGTTTCATGCTCTGAAGTGACATAGCCTTTGGGACCTGACTTTCACCTGAGGGATGTCTATATATGACTAAATGATGATTTCTCCTTGAACATTCTGACAGAGCTCCAGAAATCTGCTCCAGCTTCTCAGCTGCTGCAGGCCCCCGATTCAGGCCACTTCACACCTCTCTTCCTGTTTCCCTTGAGAAGATAGCCATCATCTGGAAAACTCAAGGTGCCCCAGCACCCACACATCGGTTCACCATCCTCACTCCCGAGTCCAGCTCTGTGCAGTGACAGGACCACCGCCAGTGAGGAGGTTCTGGGTGTGGCAACTGCTCACTGAAAACCTCAGGCCAAGTCTGTCGTTCCTGTGGGTCACGCCAGCTCCCTGACTGGCTCTTAATAACTCTTAAGAGTTACTTAGTTGTTCTGATAATTTAAACATTCAATTTCACAAATAATAAACAACTGGTTTCAGCACAACTTATTTTTACTTACTGTAAAAGTGAAATGAAATGAGAAAAATAGTGAACATAAAACTACAAATCAGGGACATAGATAAATGCTGCAGACATCAGTAGTTTATTGTTTGTTTAGTCCAAACACATTCAAAATGGAAACTCAAAAGAATGCTTTCCACCTGAAACAATTAAACTAGATTCTACTAGCATATAATGCTTAACACATTACAGCAACAGAGATGGTAATCCATTGTCTTCTATTCCTACTAAAGCCAAGATGATAAAGCCAATTTGGTTGCAATAGTGTCATAAGGATAGAATATTACCATCGAAAAATAAAACAGAATAGCAAAGAACAGTAATGGTAGATGAATATTTTACTGCTTCACTGAAGAGGGGACAAAGTGTTAAAGTCCACAGTACTGTGGGTGAGCAATCACCATGGAAACTCCGCCAGCCGGTGTTCTCATGCTTCCTCTGCCATGTGCAGCGATGGGTGCCCAGTGGCTCTCTGCACTCGCTGTCTATTACACTTAACACTTGTCGTTTCTTTTGGTGCCAGAACAGTTCTCATGGGCTACTGCGCAATATCCTGGGTCAGAAACATGTGTATATGTGTACGTACATACATACATTTATGTGTATGTGGAAGGGGAAAGACGAATAAAGGAAAAATACATGGGAGAAAAAACACTGACATAAAACCACTCATTAAAGTAGTTGGATAAAGGCTTCAAGACCCCAAAGTAATTTTCTGGTAAGAACTTCAAGTACTATACATCAGAAAGCGTAAAACTGTTTCAAACAAATATAAATCCTTAAGCTCCCAAAAATGGAAACTGAAAATCTGTGTCCCCCAAATATATGCAATAGTGCAAAACTTTTCCTCACACATGGAAGACCTCATTCAAAGGGCTGAAAAAGACAATAGATTTGACTTTACTCTTATTGCCCTGTTGGTAAAAAGCAAAGCACATGCAATCATTTGCTAGTTTACTAAGCAGCAAATTGCTGCATAATTCAGAACCAATCTGCTACTCTGGCAAGTGCATGGTTTGCTTGTTTTAAGTCAGAATGGAGAAGTCTTCCATGTTAACAAGCAGCTTTAAGTGGTCACACTTCTCCCCACCTCCTGCCTGGAACATCAGAATCTGCCTAGGCTCTGACTGCTCCACACACAGAACTGGATCATCTCTGCCATATTTTGTGTTTTATTGGAACTTGCTAAAAAGACAATATAATAATCCAGCAGCTACAATCTCTGCTCACAGAACTGTTCAGATTCATGTAAAAATAAAAAGATGTCCTCCCAGACTGTGAAATTCAGGAGTGTTAACTGATGTTAACACTCAGGTGTTAACATCAGTTCAAGAATTGTGCAAAATGAATGACAGCTCCCAGACCCCAGAGAGAAAACGCCAACACTACCTAGAGCTGCTGTTCCTTCCTCTGAAAACTGCAGTATCCTCACTTGTGGGTTTACTTGCCATTTATAGAATCTGCTACTTTTGAAATGTTACTAAAAATGTACACCAAGTTGAGTGACTTTTCCAAGCATTGAAGCCGTATGGTTCACATTCACATTAAAACCAAGAAAAGTCAACTAGAGATTCAAAAGAACCAACCTTCTCTCTCACTCCATCCTGGACACAAGGCCCCTCCCACAGAACACAAAACCTGTTAACTGAAGAACAAGGTAAGTAGTAAGTGTCCATTTTACTGATTTTAAAGATACTGCAATTTTTATACACTCCAATGATTTCTCAATGTTTTGCAGCTGTTTGGCTTTGTAGCACGGCAATCCATAAACTATACTGTACAAAATAACCAGCAGGACTGGAATGATGTATTAAGAGAAGGCACCATCATGCTTATACCAGAGAACAAAAATACAGGAAAGACAATCTCCACTGTACACAGCTCAAAGGACGGGGAGGAGTGTGCTGAGCAGCCAGCCTGCCCTGTATCAAGAGGGGCGGGCAGAAAACTCTGACAGTGCGAAGCTGATACTCAAAACCATGACATTTGAAGTTCTGGTTTTTGTTGTTTTTAGTTCATAGCTAATTTCCTCCTGGAACACATCGGTAGTCTTGTTAAGGTCTATGTGTACACACGCTGGTCACAGCAAGCAGATAAAATGCCCTCATCATTTCATAAGCTACTTTCTACTGGAAAAAGACGGAAGGTTTCTTTCCCTGTTGCCTCCTGTTGCAGACTTCAATGTTAAGGAGTTCAGAGTACCCAACAGTGCATTTTGATGAGGGCACAAGTTTCAGTTGGTTTGTATTGGGGGAGGGGGAAGCCAAGAAAAAAGGCAAGATTCTCCAATTGCACAAATTGCACTATTTGTGTTTCCAACATTAACAGGCAGAAACAGTAACACTTAAACAAATTGTGCAGCAGAGGATATTTTTTGACTCAAAGGACCTGAATTCAGGACATGTCCTTTTAAGTTCATTCTGTTGTTGATAGATTAAAGGTCATCTCAGTCCTTAATTCACCAAGTCTAGATTTATAAATTAACAATGTGAATCCTGTTATGAAATTGGGGAAAAATGTCCACCTCAATTTAACTGATAACCAAAGATGCTTTTCACATCAAAGAAATGATTAAAAAGGCTGTGTCACATTCCAAAGCCAAAAAAAAAATTCACAAGAACGCAAACACGATGAAGACCGCGCCACTGCCAAGACTGGCCGCAGGGTCAGCGCCGCTGCCCAGGGAAGCGGCCCTCCATCTGCCCAGCGCCTCGCCCGGAGCCCAGTTTCTGCGCCACGCCGCCCCGTGGAGGGGGGCCTCTGTTGTCTCGGTCGCGCACCAGCCCGCCGCCCACGAGGCCCCGCGGGCCTCCAGGACCTCGCTCGTTGCGCCTGACATCCCTGCGGTCATCGCCACCGCCTCGGGTCTCTCGCTCTCTCGCAGCTCTTGTCTTCTTCTCTTCCACATTTAAGCGCACCTCTCCTCGGAACATAATTGGCTTTAAGGAGAGGAGAAAAATAGCGACACGGGCAAGTTAGATAGCAACAGAAATGCACTTACCTTGCTCAGAGAAATCAGAAAATCCTTAGAAGAAAACATTCATGAAAATTTTACTATGCAGTCTAACTGTATTAAACACTGAAATTTAAAAACGAACATCTCAGTCTTTAACACCATAAAGAATCTTTAACCTTTGCATAAATACCATTTCACAATAAACTACTTTTAGCTTTATCATTTAAAAAGTGATTTTCTATGGTTTTAAAAAGCACCAGGGTAATCATATTATATACAACAGAGATAAGAATGGCTTGAATTATGCCCTTTAAATCACTTACTTTTGCAATTAAGATTCTCTGAACTGGTTCAGAGTCATCAAAAACCACAAAACCAAAATTTGGAAGCTTTCCCCCAACACCCTTGGTATTGATGCGAAGTTCCACAACGTTTCCAAAACCTGTGAAAATATACATTATGCCAAGAATTAAATATTTTAACAGTACTCTAACGGCTTTAATTATTCAGGATGATTTATCTTAACATCCTCGATCCATTTGGAAATAAAAGTCGCAAGGTCCTGTACCCTGCGACAAGGTACAGAGACAAAGACACAGCTGCAGTACCAGAGCTGATCACTAACTTCAGCCCTTTCCCAAGCAAAGACACTATGAGGCTCTGGAAAGGCCATCTAGCTTCTCATTCTGGTTTTTATCTTTTGTTTCAGACTGATGTGTCCCTCTTTTTCTCCTGATCACTACTGACTGAAAATTTAGCAGCCACTACCCTTCCCATTTCTGCTGACCCATCAAGATGAGATCGGGAGTGGGGAGGACAGCACGGGAGACAGTGGTTATGTTACAAAAAACTGTCTACTATTGGCTTAATGTTAAGATAATTTTAAACTTTTAGTTAAAAAACCAAAACAGACCACTTACTCATAAAGAATTCTTTCAGTTCATTTTCATCAATGTCATGTGGCAAGTTACCAACAAAAAGCTGATGACTGTCTGGATAGCGAATTATTCTACGGTTGTCTGAGTCATTCTGTTCCATATCTCCTCTGCCTGAGAACAGCAACAAAACAGGCACAGAGTTTACAACATCATATAACAAACAGTTAAAAGCAATGAATGTAAAAAGAAAAATCACTTCGTACTGAGATTCTTGTTTTATGAGCATCCTGAAGAGGTAGAAGTACCTGTTACTAGTAGGTTAGTCAGAAAACTAAACCCAGAGAACACAGGCAGTTTCTTCTGCTAGACTACTGGTCTGACTATGAATGTCAGGTACCAAAAGCACAGGTCTTCCTCCTTAACAACCAAACTGTTGCCATTACCCAAGAACCAGGTCAAAGATGTCTATTTCTACACCAATCATTTTGCTCAGTCATCTGACTTTTTTCCAGTACTGATCCTTTTCATATTTTATTTTAAGATAGGGTTTCACTGAGTTGCCCAGGCTAGCCTGGCACTTTCAGTACAAGGTTAGGATTACAGGAGTAACATCACCATGCCCGGCCTCAGTCTCTGATTATATGACATTACAGCCAAATCAGTAATTCTCATGTCTCATTTTAAATAACACTCAAAAACTGACATATACTGTATGTTCCACCTCCTCCCCAAAGTAATGTAAACATTCTTAAAGAACTCAAATAAAGGTAATACATATATGAGCTAATATGTAAACAAGTCAAAAATCATGGCAACTTAATACTTAAAGAACAACCAGGGTGTGCTTAGTGTTTAGTGCACCTATCTCTTCACAGATAAGAGTAGGTTATTGGCAGCTAGTTTTGAATGCTTAAAACCAGTGACAATAGCCAAATCACATGTGTTTCAAACTTTTTGCAGCTTCTACGTAGATTTCTCTACAGTGGGTCAACCAATCCTCCCGAGTGCGAACCTGCCCCAGACTACCTGCCAGCAGGTTGCTCACATCTCCAACCAACTGACACTACACAGATGGGTCTGTGCACCCCTTTCTGGTGTCCTACCTGTGCAGTCTTTTCTTATTTTCCAAATGCTGATACTAAGGCCAGGAAGGAGTGGACTCACCTGGCCTTGGTCCTCTAGGTGGGAAACCAGGTCGCTCTCTAGGTCGTTGTTCTCGCACGCGTGGCGGCTGAGACTGAACTTCAGGTTTAGCTTCCACTCTTGGCTAAAATGTAAGGGAAAAACACATTGTAAAGAAATGCAACACACAGGAGAAAAGCCAACTAAAGCAACTGCCAGCAAGACACCAGCAGGAATAAACTGGTACTTTCAAGTTTACAATGCTTGAAGCGTAGTGCCATACGGGTGTGAAACATAAATTCTTTAAAGATATTCTGTACCAATCTAGGACTGTAGGGTAGGCTGTGTTTTCCCACTCAGGCTGAGTAACTCACAATACGCTGCTTTTTATCATATTTTTTTTCCACTATAGTTATAGCTACATTGAAACAGCATAAAAGGTATTGCTACAAAAAAAAAAAAATTACAGAAATGCAAGACAAGACACTCCATGTAAATACATAAAATCAAAAGCCATCTTAACCTTAGACAAAGACAGACACGTATTTCTAAATATCTAGCTACTGCCTTCAGATTTAACAGTGCTCAGTTACATCTCCTGACCCCCAATCCAGAATCTTTAAACCAACATTTTTAATGCTTCAAAGTATGTACTTTGGCACTTACAACTGCTAGCTCTAGGTTTAAATGCACTTAAAAGCAGGCAGCAGCAGTGGGGCCTGCACATCTCTGCAGCATTTCCAACAGTCACAGAAGTCCTTCTGTCTATTATTTTTTTTCTTTTTTTCTCTTCTATTGTTTAATTATGAGAAAGGTATACATTTATTCAAAGTACTGACACCAACAATTTTCTGCCAACTGCTGAATCACCCACAAAGTACTTATTTTAACAAATCATAACGTGTATCTGCTATTATCTTCTCTTCAATATAACAGTATTTTCAGTATTCCCAGTCTCTTCAGGCTATTGTCCAAATATTTATGGGTCAAGGCAACACCAAAATGTATATCTTCAAATGCTGAATCTACTCAGCAGGATATAGAGTTCATGTCCTCAAAACGAGAGGGATTTAATCTTATCTTTACAGGAGACCATCCAAGACATTATATTTATAAAAATAAATCCAGAAATAAAATATTATACTTCTTTCAAAAATGACCACCTAATGGCAATGGTTTCAGCCACTACATCCAATAATACATTAACTGTCACTCCAGTGATTTAACTGCTCTTTCTAAATTATTTTCCTCCATGCACATGTCCCATTTTGCTTAAGATGAAACTAATCTCTAGTTCTAGAACGCTGTTAGCTTAAAAATTAATTTTAACTCTCCTCAATTTCTTGAAATTTATACGTATTTCTATAAAAACCGAATTTTTAGTTTTACATTATTACCCAAAGAACCCAGCACAGTGCTGCCAGACATACTTATTCACTAATCACTGGTTCATTTAAAATTAAATTTTATTTTTAGTTCTCTGACCCTAAACTTGTAGAAGAATACTCTTGCCTAACAAAATGACCTAAAGATCATTCCCAAGAGCAAGATTCTGTATTTGGTGTTTGATGCTACATAACTGATCTAAACGGTGAGGACTGAAAAAAGTGGTTATTTGGAAAAGGCAACTAAGGACTCTATAAAAAGTACGCATTATTTCAGCTTCATGTGAAACAGAATTAAAAAACAGATGTACTGTTTAATGAAGGCAGTACATTACCGAAAATTAATGAAATGGCAAATATGCCCCAACTTCACACAAAACCTTAGTGATCCTTTCTTTCACTATCAGAAACCCAAGGCCCCAAACTTAACAGATCTTAATTTTTTGCAAAACAGATTTCCAACAGAAACTGTATGTGGCAAAAAAAGCTCTGTCCTATTAAGAATTTCAAATTAAAATCAGAAAAATGCAAATACTTTTCAACATCTTGCAAACCAACTGTGGCAATGCCTCCATGACCTAACTTTGTAAGGAAGTATATTTGATACTGCCAGTGTATGAAAAGTGACACCAAAAAGCTCACAACATTTCCTTCAATACTGGACAAAAATGCCTACTAAGCCAGCTATACACTTCAAATTCTTCAGGCCTGATGAGTAAAACTAGTTATTCCAAACAGATAAAAAGCAAATACCATAGATGCCGTTAATTTCATGTAATCAGGGAAGTGTGATCACAGGACAAACTCGACAAATAAATGTCAAACAGCATATAAAATAAAAAATACAGCCATCAAATCAAGTCAGTAAAAGAGATACTATAACCACAACTAATAAGTAAGTCCTTCAATTATAAACTATTTAGGTGAACAGGTCAATTTCCAGACAAAATCATTCACCAAGAAATTAACTTATCGACTTCTAAATGAATGCATACACCAAAAGCCTAGAATTATACCTAATTTCCTCTCATCTATTTTAAAGTATAGGGAAAGGAATGCTATGCAAAACAAAATGACTTAGTTTCCTAGAATTTGAAATATAATTTCAAAAAATACTCAGACTTTAAGCCAACTACTTTTCTTGCTTTTTTTTTTTTTTTGGTTGTGGGGATCAGGTCAACTCATGACCTCACACTTGCCAGGCAAGCACTTGTGCTGCTGAGCTAAATTCCTGGCTCTAAGCCAATTATGATATGCAAAAATTATTTTCCTGGTCAAGAGGCGAGAACACCAGAACAGTGTGGTAAGCCTGGTACAAGAGCTGCAGAAGGCTGCATCATGGAAGGCTCTACAAGGTTTGCCATTACCGGGCTAGAATATGATGTGGTTCGGGCACATAAGTGACGCTGTATGCACACAGATACAGTCTGCCTCTGTAGTGAGGCACTTCAGGAGTGAGTGGGTCGGTCTGTCTGTCTAGCTACAGGAATGCAAGTTCCAGCCCTCTATTTTCCTAGCTCTAAGAAGGGAGTGTTAATTGCACCAACTACTCATAGGGCTCAGGGAAAATAAACAAAAAGTACTTTGCACAGTCTTTGGGAAGTATGAAAAGCTTTTAGTATTTTACCTTTAACTATGTAAAATAAATACAGCCAAATCTCTTAAATAATCCTCCAAAGGTTACAAATCCAAATCCAAAGTTTCAAAAGAAAAGCCAGAAGTCACTTATCAAGTCCCGGGATGGGGGGATGAAAAGTACACACACTGAGCAGATTAACTTTTTCATTAAGATGGAACTGTCTTGTGATTTAAGGTACCACTCATTTCCTGAATGTCTACCTGGGAAAACGGGCACGATAGCATGGAGTAGTCTACTGCTGTATAACTAACTACAATGTGCACTGACACTGCAAGGACGGTAGTAATCACTAGCTGTTCCGTGCTAACAGGGGACTTCGCGGTGGCCCAGGCTAGTCTTGACTCCCAGACTCCAATGATCTCCTCTTGAACAGTGCTATGACTGCTACCCTGCCCAGCTTTTGATACTTCATCTTTCACTGTCTGGTGCATGGAAAAAATTTATTCACTCATCCCTTAAAATGTAAAATTTCTAGCGGAATGAAGTTTAACTAAAATGTGGGGAAAAGGAATAGGACACCCTTTAGATATGCCAATGAATTTAAATTAACACTTAGTTAAATCTGGACTACATCTAACAAACATTGTAAGTAGTCAGTGTCTCTTATTTTCAGTTTTGGAAAGCTCTGAAATGGGTAAGATGACAAACAGACAAAAAGCAGAATACTCAAATGATCAGTTAAGGTGAACACTACAGTCATAAGTTGGTACAGGCTTCAAACAAATGGTGTGAATCACTTAGAGACTTAGGCAGTGTATATTAAGAAGTTTTCTACTTTTAAAAAAACAATGATTCTTTATAATGCCACACTGTATTATGCCTTTTCAAATTTCTTACCTAAAGTATTTTTGTTAAATTTATAATTTTTAAAAGGAACTTTTTTTGTTGTTATTTTAAGAAGCCTTTTAAATGACAATACTACATACTGATAAACCAACTTAATCTGTATTTCACACACCCAAACCCCAAATACTACCTATGCAAATGATGAATGGAGATTTGGCATTTAAAGTGGGTGCACTGACATTTCATACATTTTTTGTATGCTTAATCCATAATTTCTGACTCATTTAAAAATGTAATAAAAAATAATAAGCAATTGGCAATGTAACAAGGATACAATCCAATGTGTTCACAGATGGGTTACCTGTGAGACTGGTGCTTTAACATGGGGTGGAATTCCAGAGGAAGAAACAGTACCACTAGGAGGCAGGTTTTTACTGGTCACTGAAGCCCAGGAGAAAGCCTGCAGGAAATGCAACAAACCTAGACTACTAATCATGGAAAACCACCAACATTCCTATAGGGAAACTCCCAAATATATATTTTCTTTTCATTTCTAAACTATGGCTCTATATTGGAGGACTCCTAACAGAAAGGCACACACACACATGCCAGTCTATGTGCCAGCTTTCAAAATCTCAATGCACAATTATTTATAAATGTTTTGTCTCAACTACTAAATAAAACCACAGCAAATTCCTACATACACTAGGTAGATGATCAAGTGGTGAATAAAACCACTAACAACTAAACATACTAGAGAACTCTCAACCTGATAGAAGCAGTTTCTTTCCCCTTTTGCGAGGAAGATAGGTGTGTGGTGGTGTTCAAGGGAAGGGGAAGGACAGGAAAGAATAGAACACTGCTGGAAATTTTAACAGACATCCACAAATTGAACAAGGTATCTTCTCCTCTTGCTATCCAAATATGCTTTACCATACTTGCAGAGAGACCAAAGAAGTTTTGCACTGAACACTGTGGGTGTCACTCACCTTTATAGGATAGTTCAACTGGTGCAGTACCAAGAAAGCTGATCCCATCTAACTCAAGGGTATCTCTAAACTACAGAGCAACATAAGCTGGGAGACTGCTCCATTCCTAGTGCACCTGGGTTTAAAGATCTCACCCAGAAGGGAAGAGCAGCCGATGGCCCGAGACAGATTGGGAGTGTGGGGAGGATGATTTCATCTAAGTTACTAAACTGCATAGATCAAGGATAACCCTTTTATAAATTTCACTTTTAGGAGCCCTGGTTTGCAAAACCATTGCAATTTTTCTCAGGATAACAATACCACAGCTTCTTTTGCAAACATAGTTTGCTATATTAATCAATTTAAAAAACAGAAGTTGCACTGCATTGATGGCACCAATATGAAAGTGTGAGGTCAAAGGTCGAAGAGTTTCTCTGATCTAACCTTTGGTGGTTCTTGGGGCAGCGAAACAGGCTCTGCGGGGGGAGGAGTAGCAGACTTCTCCTCCAGTTCTTCTAAATTCTTCTCTTCCACTTGTGGTTTCAACTCCTCTGCCTTTGTTTCAGATTCGGGCTCAGGCTCAGGCTCATGAGAGGATTCTTCCAAAGGTTCCTCTATGCCGTTACTACAAATGGTTAAGTTCAAATAAGATAAAATTCACTTTCTCTCCAATCAAATGGGTACAAGTAGTCGTATTCCAATAGCCTGTCCTACATCTCTAAGTAGTGTGTTTTGTGATACTGGGCGGGAACCCAGGACCAGTTTGCACATGCTAGATAAGCACTCTGCATTATCAGGAATGCTGAGTGTAAACCATAAACCCTATAGTTTATAATAGTAAAATTCTGTAAAAATAAAATGCTCACTTTGTTTTGTCCAATACATTCCACATTGTTCGTAACTGACCACTACATTTGGTGAAAACCATGTTTAACTTTTAAACTATGCAAAGCAATTCTTCCCACATTTCTTGATTATACACATATAAAACAGGTACTCAGATACCAGCTGAGCAGGTAGCTCTATAGAAAACTTCCTTCCAGAAGCTAGGGGTAGACCGCAGCAGTACAGCGCACCCAGGGGAAGAAAGCTTTGGGTCCCAGCCTGCAGCTAAGCATCCAGTCTACATGTGACTGGAGTCCTGTCCTTACGTCACGGGATGAGCTTCATAGTAACCACTGCTAGCATTTTCTTGCACAGGTTCAGGAGAAGGTTGTCTTTCTTCCTGCTCCTCTTCCACTTCATCTTCTGATTCTGACAACACACAGGGCATGATAACTTTTTAACACAGGGTTTTCATAGTTTCTTTTGTCTTTTTGAGACAAGGTTTTCTATGTAGTTCAGGCTGGCCCTGAACTCACTTTGTAGCCCACGCTGGCCTCAAAAAACTCACAGTGATCTCCGCCTCAGCTCCTGAGGGCTGGGATTACAGGCAAATGCCACTATCTCCAGTAAGTTTCCTTAATTTCTTTCCGGTACCCGGAAGTGAACCCAAGGCCTTGCTCTTGCCAGGCAGGTATTGTGCTACTGAGCTGTAACTTCTGACATACATATTTTTATGTTATATATGTTTAAGAAAATTTTTATTTCCTTAAACATGTATATGTTATATATGCTTAAGAAAATTTTTAAGATTAAAACAAAAGATTAAAATTTTAAAAATTAAAAATTTTTAATTTTTTCCTTTTAAAATTAAGGAAATTTTAAAATAGTACAGGACTACAAAAATATTAGAAATTATTTACAAAATCATTCAAACTGCTATAATCCCTGTTCTCTCAAAAACTGAAGAGAATAAGCAGAATAGTTTATTCTACCACAACAAAATCTATTAGCAATAAAAGGAAAATGCAGGAAATAATTTGTAAAAGTTTCATACTTATAAAAACACTTTTATCTTCAGAGTAACCTCACCTTCATCAAGTTCTGGTTCAGAATCACCAAATACTTCATCTTCATAACGAAACATATCATTATGGACATAAAATTTATTTGGAACAGACCCCTGTAGAAAAGCAACATGGAAGTATTTCATGAATATCCATAAAATCGCTATTACATTGAAATAACAAATTATATGGCATACACAATTTCAATTTTAATGCCAGAGAAATAATCTGGATGAACTCAATTTTCCAAAGCTAAATACATTGCTAGTATACAGTAAATGAAAAAGGATCACCTAAAGAATATTAGAGCCCAAGAAACTTTCCTCAACAGGAAAGAAACCAACTCATAAACACAACTTTTCCTTTTTTCCCAAATACTACTTTTAAATATACCAAAGTAATTTTTGTATTATTTCTATAATCATAATAATTATGACACATTAACTATCATCACCTAACTTTTAATTCCAAATAGAGCACTACACAAAAATTTCAAACAAATTGTACCAATAGGTTGAGCAGAATGTCTGAAGAATAGCAGCATGCCAATCTAAGTCTATCAGAAGACACTCCAACAAATGGACAGCAACCAAACCGAATCAGGTAAGTGAAATGCAAACGTACTTCTGGAGCCAAAACGAAGGTCTGCATGAACTTCCTTTCCGGCTGCCCGCTGTTGGACAGCAAGCCCATGACCTGGACGACGACACCATCGCTCAGGGTGGCATGCGCATCCACGTGACGGATCTTTGTGTGGCACTCACTGAAGTTCAGGGATAACACTTTGTGGTGAATGTCCTGCGCAGGAAAGGGGAGAAGAAACGCACAGCTTTGTGATTCTGCACAGTAGTTACTGTTACCACCTCACCTACAACCTCCCAACCCCAAAACGCTACCTCCCTGGTTCTCCTGCTTTATTCCACCTACCCCACCACACCACACCTCCCTGCACACTGCTGCTCCCACCTCCACACTCAACAAGGGAGAGGACCCCACACGGCGTGCTCACTGGCTTTACCCTCTCTTCTCCCACAGTCCATCATGGTATAGTCACTCTCCCAAACTGTACGCTGACTGCCCCTCCACGCCTGACTCTGTGTCACCATGATGCTTGCTGGCGCCGTTTTTCTACCTCTGACTTCTCTGTTAAGGTCAAAGCCTGAGGTGTAACTGAAGCTTCATATCTTACAAAGTCTTCCTGCCTGTAGGGCGTAGGGAACATGTACTTCTGTGCGTTCCCACAACATAAGGTATGGGCCACACTGGTTGGAAGTTCACATACTGCACTTCAAACCAAGGACAGCTAACGTTCCACTTTCTACTGTGTCACCCTGTCCAACATTACACCACTCTTCACACAAAATCAGTATTAAGAATTCCAAACACTACCGAAGTCATTCCAGGGGGTTTCTAACAATCGTATTGAAGAAATTCATGAGAAAAAGGTTATTTTTTGAAATCTCTATTTCAGTACTATTATCTGTTTCCTTGTAGGAGAATCTTTATATGTTGTACTGAGTACTTTGAAAATAATGATTGTGTACTTCACATTCTCAAGTTTTTTCATAAATAAAAGATTAATTTAAAAAAGTCTCTATCTTAACACCAAAAGACATTTAAAATACATATATGAATGACTTACATTTTGGCCATAAACAGCTTCCTGGGGCTTCCCACTAGCATCCACTCCTCCATGAACGTAGGAAGAATTCCTGCCATAAAACCTACAAAATGATTCATGATTATATATTATCACTCAATTGTCAAGAGAAGTCTAAGAGGCAACAGAGTTCTGGTGTTAAAAAATGAAACAAGGATCCAGCTCTGATACTCATCAGACAGATAATCTTGGGCACGTTACTTAATTTTTTTGTGTGTGCTGGGGATCAAACTCATGATCTTGCGTTTGCCAAGCAGGCGCTTATGCCGTTGAGCTAAACCCCTGGCCCAAGTTATTTAATTTTAATCTGTAATCATACAGGTAGTACAGTAACTGTCTTCCTATAGGTTTCTTAAGGATTGGAAGAGTAACACACAGAAAGCTTAGTCTACGTGGCACAGTAACTCTAGATAGCCATTAGCTACTCTCACCTAATTTGTATCACATCTTTATTCTGTGACACAGAAGAAATAAAAGTATGTTCTAAACACAGATTTTTAAAAAAGATAAAATATAGTTTTTATCTTAGATACAAACACTCCTTGATCTGAATTTGTCTTAGGATCAAAGATCCATTCACTATTTAGGGCTCCAAATTACCTTTTTTTTTTTTTTGAGACAGGGTCTTGCTCTGTAGTTTAGGCTGGTCAGTCTGGTCTCCAACTCAAGTGACCCTTCTGCCTCAGCCTCCAGAGTGCTGAGATCACAGGTTTGTCACTATACCCATTCAAATGACTACTAATTTTAAAGGTTCATATTAAAAGTTTAGATATAAAATAACTGAAATAGTTCAGACAAGGAAAAGTTTTACAACTATTCCAGCATCAAAATTCTCATTAAGCTGAACATTCTCAAACCTCTCAGCAGGTATATGAGTCTGAGGCAGTAAGATCACCCTGAGTTTGAGGTCAGCCTGGGCTACATTGAGTTCAAGGCCAGCATGAACTGCAGAGTGAGACCCTGTCTCACAAAACCAAAACCAAAACCGAAACCAAAACAACAAGAACAACAATGAAAACAAAAACACCAACCCATACCCCAAAATTTATTAATATTTTTATGCTGCTCAAAAGTACATGACAAATTAGACTTTTTCTGCCAGTATGTAAAGTAATAATAGTATCTTTCTAAATTAAGGTTATCAAGTTACAAACTGAACTTTTTCAAACTGTATTTGGTAGTACATGTCTATATCATTCCATACTTGGCAGGCCTGAGGCAGGAATATTACTGCAATTAAGGCTGCTTGGGAAAACCTGTTAAAAAAAGGAGCAAGCTGAGGGCCAGAAGAGGTTGTATCAAGCAGTCAGTTAAGACAAAACCCCATCAGTTTGGCTCCAGAGGCCATGCTTTTAACCACTCCCCTGTATTTTTTTTTTTTTTTTGTCTTTTTCCTTTTTATCGGTACCAGGGATCGAACTCACGACTGCCTGCTTACAAGGCAGGCGCTTATGCCACTGAGCTAAATCCCCAGCCCCTCCCCTGTATTTTTAAATGTACTTTCTCTCATGTGCTACTGGCAGGCTGTAAACTGGCATTAAAACTTTTTCCAAAGTGCATGTGTATGAAAAGCTGCAGAAATGATCCTATCTTTGATACAATTAATTCTCTCAGAAACTTAAAAATATATAATGGATCAATACTAGGTGCACAAAAATGCATGTCTAAGGAAGGTCATTACGGTGTTGTATCTATTACTGAAAAGTTTCTAACAAACTATTTTCACTAAGATGGAAAGTGTTTAAGGAATGTATAAAACAAGTCTATGCTGTTAACTTAACATGACGATGTAGAGACTTTCTAGCACTTTTTGGCCATTACAATATTATTTTTCTTTTTTTCATCATAGTATTTTTATTTTTTTTTTTGTCTTTTTCATTTTTTATCGGTACCGGGGATCATCATAGTATTTTTAAAATGCTAATACTGTGCTCATATCGTGACAAGCCCCAATCTGACATATTGAAAGACCCCAGTAATTCTATCTCCCCACTAACTCTTTCACATATGCTATTAACAAGTACATCTCTATTTCTGTAATTAGAAAAACATAGCTTTTCATTGTGAGATCTGTTTTCGGGGGGGATGTTACTTACACTTTTTAGATACGCAATACTTAAGCACAGTTAGACTCTATACCCAAAATTAGGCCTCACTACTGGCTACAGACAGCTTGTTTATTTACTGAGTGATCTCGCAATCTTCCTGAATTAATTTCTAGCCAAAGCTGTGTAATATGTAAAGTGAGGTAATTATAATATCCGCGCTTTTAAGATTGCCCTCACAATTATGTAGATAATATAGGTATGTATTCATGCACACAGCCAACCAAATAATAAATATAAACAGATGCCTCCCTGGATTAACAGAATATCATACATATATTCAATAGTATATGACAAACTGCAAAACCTCTAGAATGCCTAACTTTTTAAACATTAAGTACATTTATTAGAAAAGAAAGTCATGAAAAAAAAAAACTCATGAAATATCCTCATACCCTTCAGAAATTAAAAATAAACGCAATCCCTTATCAAAATGCCATCAATCTTCATAAGGATTAACATTTTGATTCTTACATTTCTATAAGAATACAAAAGACAAAAAAAAAAAAAAAAAAAAAAGAATACAAAATCTCAGAAAAGTCTGAACAACTTTGATAAAGGAACAAAATTAGAGCTCCAACCCTCCTCAATCCCATGACTATCGCAAAGTTAAACCAATCATGACAAAATGGCAAAATGCCTAGCTTTTAAAAGACCTACATATACAGGAAAGTGAGTCTTTTAAACAGGCTTTGCCAGTGGAAGCTGCAATGATATACAGTATTTATTCTTCACATGGCTAATGCTCTACAACAAAAAAGCAAAGCCTTCTTACAGGACCCAGACTCCTCTTCTACACTTCTTAAGACACATCCAAAAGAACAAAATTTCTAAGAACCACCCACAACATAAACTAATTTCATTTTAATTTCTTTGGGGGGGGGAGCCTTACCAGATTATAATTATATAACTCTTGCCAGAGTAGTGAACAATGCTATTGTCACTATTAGTATTTTGCACATAAGAAGAAAAATTTTCACAAGCATGTGTAACACATTTATTTTTCAATACTGTGAGAACTTAAGATGATTAGAGCCATTAGCTTCCCGGCCCAGGCACTGGGGATTAGGGATTATGCCCAGGGAGCACTGAAGCTGCTTCCTTAGAACTTTATTTATTTATTTATTTAAGCTCCCTGTCGCCAATGGCAAGGACAAGAAGACAAGATGCAGTTGGTGCAGCCACCAGTGTGGAAGGGCGACTACATGCAGACCTCCTGCTCGCTGCGGAGAAAGCATCTGTGGACTGTGAGCACTGGGCACTCCTCCATGTGTCAACTTTTCAGAGGCTCTGGGCTCTAGGTCTTCCCAGCAGCAACTGAGCCCTTTCAAGGGAGGTGGAGGTGGTGGCTGTCTGTGTTCTACCACGACGGACCATGCTGCTTCAGGTCTTTTTGTTTAAGTTTTGAGGCAGGGTCTTACTAACTTGCTCAGGTAGCGCTGTCCTGTGATTCTCCTGGTCTGCATCCCAAGTGGTTAGGACTGACTACAAGTACCTACCACCATTCCTGCTCCTATACCACACATCTCTAACTGCCCACAGGGAGCCTATCACTCGGGTCGGGCCCTACCATTCTTTTGCTGTTTTGGAAACTGAAGCCAGGGCTCCTGCACTCAGCTGCATCCCAAGCACCTGTCCTTTATTTTCAGACCAGGTCTAGACTTCCAGGGTTAGTTTGAATTTGCAATCCTCTGGTCTCAGTATCCCAGAGCGCTGGTATTACATGCACGCACCACTGGGCCCAGCTTTTACAAAATGAAATTAAAATCCTTGTATACTAAAAATGTGTGTATACAGAAATAAATGTGTTATCAACTGGGATATGATGTGTTTTTCTTTCTATACTCAGCTGTCAAAAAATAGAAAAAAGTACTGGGTTAGTCATTATGTGGTTAAAAGTATTGGATATGGTTTAAAGATGTGTACATAAATAATGTCAAGTTACGAGCAGGAAAGGTAAAATATACAGTCACCCCCAGAAAACAAAGCTAAATAACAACAGTGCTGCTCAGGCCCAGCTCACCTGTGTAGGTATTCCGGCGCCTTATTCAGCAAAGTATAATACTGCCTCACGAACTCCCGCCCCACCAGCAGCGGGCTGGGCTTCTCCATAACCATTGCTTTGCTGCACAGGGTCAAATGCTGGGGAAAAGCACAAGAACAACCATTACTAAAAAACCGTCTGTAGAAACCACATGAGATGAATGTTTTACTTTTCCTAAACAAATGGGAATAAAGAGAATTAAAATCATTTATTAAAAAGTAATAACAGCAGGCAGTAAGTTCCTAGCCTATCATGTGTACATTTCCTTTTGTCCCAAGAAAAATTAGCTCAAAATAATCCTTCTCATCCTTTATTTTATGCTTATAGCCCCTAGAACGTTAAAATTAGAATAATATTGGTATTGGGGCAAAGGAAGGAAAAAGTATGAAAAAATTGGGAAAAAACCCAGACAGACACAATTGGATAAAGGCACAATAAAGTAGGAGACTTAGGACCATGCAGGCATGGGTCCTCAGCGACAGGCAGACAGACACGGTATGGGTCCCCTAAAATGAAGCATCCTTTCATACTGCCCTTAGAAGCACTAAAAATTACCATGAATCTGTGCATCTATTGGGCAAATCAGAAAGCAGCTTAAATTCTTATTTAACAAGCTCCAATGTAGGTTCCTTTAAAAAGCCCAAGCAGCCCCCAGTTGTCATTACAGTATGAGATATTTTCCATATACACCAGGCACCAACTGTGGCAGCACAAACCAAGAAGACTGTCCAGCTCCACCGGGTCCCAGTCCCCTCCAGTTCAGCCAGGTATCATGTTCTATAGGTTCTTTGATTCTGTCTTAACCGCCACCCTCCTAAAACTCAAACTCAAGCTACCCGAATCTCCCAATGTGCTTGAGTCTTTATATAAAACCTTACTTGCTTTAAAAAACAGTTAATACATGAAACATGCAGACACTGCCATTTCAAGTGTCCCCTAAAACTCAACAATACAGGTAACAACCCTAACGCACCTGAGGACTCCCAGTGGCTACACTTAAAGTAGCAAAGCTGGGCCTGGGTGTAGCTCAGTGGTAAACACCTGTCTAGTATGTGCAGGTCCTGGGTTTGAGCCTCAGTACCAAAAAAAAAAATAAGACAAAATAAAGTACAGAAGCTAAGCAGTACATTTTCATCTCAGGTGATCAGAGAACGTGAAGAAAGCAGACTTACCTAGTCAATTTTACACACGCCTAGTACTGAAACAAAAAACTGAGAAACGAGATGATATAAAAATTACCCTCTGGATAAAATAATTAACTATGACATAGTTTTTCTCAAGTTGTAATGCTATTACAGATTATTTCTGATTTAAGATTATTGCTTTTTTCTTATTTATTTTCAACTTTTCTGTGGTGACACTATCATAACTTATCCCAAATTTTCCATCACATTCATAAGTCACATTTTTTCACTTTTTAATTGAGGCAGGATCTTGCTCTGTAGCTCAGGCTAGCTTTGCACTCATTATGTAGCACAGGGTGGCCTTGAACTCTTGGTGATCCTCTTCCCTCAGCCTCCTGAACCCCACAGCTCCTGGCTTAGAGTACACTCAGCTACTAGTTCCCGGGACTGAGAACAGTTTCTTTTGTCCCTTACATATTTGGTTCTTTCTCAAAGTAAGAAAAAAGTGGATACAAAAATTGTATCAATCTAAGATTAGAAGTAGTGGATACATTGAAGATCTTTTTATAACAAAATTCAAATCTTCAAAAACTGCTAGCCATACACACACAATCATAAAGCCGCAGAGAAGACAAGAAGGGCACAGGGGTAACTAACACCTGATTTATTCTTACTCTGCAAGTTATTATGTAGCAAACTCCTTCAACAGCAGAACCCTCCTGTGGAGAATGACAGAGTACATAGTATACAGTCTGCTTTTTAGGGCATGGAGAGGTAAATGATGTTATTAAGAAGGTACCTTAGTTATTACACAGTAATTACAGGTCGTTTTACCTTTTACCTTGTCTAAATGACTCAGATTTAGAAAGTCAAAAGCTGACTGAAGGAGACAAAAATACACCCCACTTTCCAAAGCCTACTAAGTATGTGCCAGAAACTCAGAAAAACTATAGTGAACAGTACACGCTCTGCTACCTCACAATTTAAAGCCCTAGACCTTTTACTGGCTGGTGCAACAATTAAAAGCCCACCATGAAAAATGTTATCCAAATCAGAAGACAATAACAATCTGCCACATAGGAAATGAGAACTGAGTCATCTAAACCACATCTAAAGACACTGTGCATTTATTTTTTTTTGGTCGGTACCAGGGATCGAACTCATGATTGCAAGGCAAGCGCTCATGCTGCTGAGCTAAATCCCCAGCCATTAAACCACATCTAAATAAGAAACATAGTTTTCAGAAAATGGCCTTTTCAGAACATTTAAAAAACTACTCAGTATCTGACTTCAGGTCTAGTGGCCGTCCTAGCTGGCTCCCTTCTCCTCTCAGCTGTCATCACAGGTGTTACGCATCCTCTCCAGCACCTTGTAGTGCCCACAAATGCGCTATTACACTCCTAGGAGATTCTCTCTCGCACTTTCTACCACTATTTGTACACAACGGGATTAGACAAAATTGTATGTTACCCATTACCGAAGACATCTTCAGAAGACAGCAACAAGGCTGGGCTCGTAGCTCACTGGTGCAGCATTTTCCTTAGGTGTGAGGGGAACCCTCAGAGTGATCCCCAGCGTCATGAAACAAAATCAACCAATCAACCAACAAAAAACTCCCTCGAACAAAAAAATTTATCTCCCCAAAAAAATTCTGGAGAAAAATAACCTATTAAGATCCAGAATAAATAATAAGGTGGTCACATAGTATGTTGATGACTAAACAATTAAATTACACAATTTCAAACTGCCTTTTTAAAGTCCAGCGTATTTCATGCTCCCATGCTTAGTTGTATGTAAATGTAATGCATGTGCACACATTTACATGAAACTTTATTACTTTAATACTAAGTTAGAATTGAAAGTCGAGATTAATTGCAAGTCCAGACTAAATACAGGTTAGCACAACTAACCGTAAGCACTTTGAGATAACAAATTCTAAGAAATCTGCAATAAAATATGCACACACACATGCAGAGTCAATATGTCCCTAAAGGTATCCAAGTAATTTGTTGTGTTCTGTCAACAAAGGTATTATGAAACACCTGACACTCACATGTTAAAAAGCAGGTAAATGATGCTCCTCTATGTGTGGGGAACCAGAGATGATGCTCCTTGAAAAAGAGGAGCAGCTGTCTCCACTTCGGACAAACTTGGCCCTATCTCCGTATACTGGTACACTGAGCTGGCTGGATTATTTCCTTGTCCCTTCAACTGGCTTTAAGCAATGTAAATGGGGCTGGCTGAGGAGCTGATGTGTCATCTCTGAAGCAAAAGACAGGCCAGTGTCACCCTGCCTACTGACTCCCCAAGTATGTGGCTGAGTGGGGCAAGATGTTGCTCATACTGTGGGCTGCGACTGAGCCTCGAGAAAGAGGCTCTGACTTCCCAGGACAGACAGGACTGTGCCTCAGACCTGAAGCACTGACCCTAACATTATTTGGTACCACCTCAGCTGTGTTTGCAGGTTGTTCTCTCTGTACATAGCAGAGGTGATCTCAGACCTCCTACCTAGCCCAGCTCATGGCAGTCACTTAATTCCCCGCTACTCTCATGTCACTCATCCCCCCCAGCCACTCCCACCCTGGAGAACAATAAAACCCAGGTTGGGCTCTGGGCGTGGCCTTTGTTCCCGTAAGCACCCTCTTGGCTGGACTTGGGACTCCCAAGCTCCCCATAACCGTATGTCCTTCTTCTCGCCATGGGTTGCACTGGAAGTGGTAGATTGGAATTAACTCACTGGAATTCCAGTAACTTCTCGTTGGGATCACAATTATAATTCTTCCTGGACCACACAAAGAGGACATAAAAGGGTTCTCCATACTATGTATAAAAATTAACTGGAAATGAACCACAGACTTCACTGTAAAACCCAAAACTCCACATTTGTGGAGGAAACATGAGAGAAAAATCATTGTGACCATGCGGCAGCATTTCAGGTAAGACACAAAAGCGCACGCACACACACACACAACACACAAAATAAATAAGAAAACTAACATCCTGATGAGTTGGACCTCATCAAAATTTAAGCCTTCTGCTCATTTAAAGGTATTCAGAAAATAAAGATAAACTTGAAATATTTGTGCAATACAGATCTTGTAAAGAACTTGTAATCAGAATATATAAAGGACTCACAACTCACCAAAAAAAAATTAGAATTTATTACAGATACACTTATCCTATCATTCTTGTCACTTTCTGAAGAAGTTCTGAAAGTTCTCCAGTAAGAGGTATGCTCAGACATAAACAGCGCTGCCCAGTGCCATCCAACAGGAAGGCAGACTCACCAAAAAATATGACCATGGGTCCACTGGCTTCATTTACTGATCAGGCTCTGCACCGACGTCAAAAGGACTGTAGAAAGTAAACATCTTGAATCCATTCAGGGTATCAAGTTGGCTATAACAGTTCAACTAAAAGAGATACTTTAGGGAGAAGACCTTCCTGCACTGCTTCAGAAAGCAGCAAAAGTGTGTCCAAAGTATGGAGAAGTCTGAAAATGACTAGTGGCAGTATGTCTTTACTGTAGTGAATTAAAAAGCCTGATAGTCACTGTACTTTCTGATCACAGCTCATACCCTTCCAGATACAACACATGAAAACAGGAACACAGTCTCTAACCATTAACTACAATGACAGACTGCACCTGCATGTAACAATGGCTAACATGACACATCTAACACACTGGTGACTGCCAAGGATGGAAAACTGCTGTTAGAAAAAAAAAATAAAACATACTCTGAGCAACAGTACAGTAGTCTCTTATAAAATTAACCATGATCGACATTACCAGCAATCCCACGCCAACGCACTTACCAGAAGAAATGAAAGCACTGTACACAAAGACCTTCATAGTGCTCATGGTAGCTTATTAATAAACACTCCCAAAGAGAAAATAATCCAACTATGCCCTAATCAGGTGAATAAAGGATTGGTATACAATCAGTAAAGGAGAGCAAAATACCACAATGGAA